CTCCTCCTCCTCCTCCTCCTCCTCCTCCTCCTCCTCCTCCTCCTCCTCCCGGCACAAGCACACGGGAGCATAAGCATAGATGTTCGGAGGCCTGGACGCGCTCCGGCCATGACATTACAGGGCGGACACACGACTGGGGCGGCGAGTCGTGGGCAGAGGCGCCGGCAGGTCTTCTCCCCTGACCCATGCCAAGGGACCAGCTCCGCTCTTGACGCCCGACATGGGCATTGAAAGAAAGGACACGTTGCCCAGCAGCTGATGTTGTCAAAAACCGGCAGCGGCGGCTGTCGGGCAGGCGGCAGTCTGTCTGAAATGGGCAGCGGCCGCCGCGACCGACGGCGAATCCTGTTCAGAATGAACACGGGCAGCTATTGGGTGTTCTGCCACCTGTCCTTGTGCCCATTTCGACTCGAGGACACGGTGAGACTCGCCCTTGTTCGAGACGCATGTGATCCACGGCATGCCGCATGTGGCGATGGGCAACATGGGGTCCGATAGCGACCGAACTGCGCTGCTGAAGTCGGCGTTGCGGGCGACGTCGCAGCTGCGACCCTGCAGTGCCCGCGATGTGTCACGCCCCCTTTCTGGCACCCAGGCGGGATCGGGAGCGGCCAAGAGGGGGGTGTCCAAGAGGGGGGGGTGCAAATCATGACCGGCGGCACGTGCGCGGCCCAGCGGGGGGGCCAGGGACGTAACGAAGTAAGCAGAGGTGCCATGAGATCTGGGGAAATATCATGGCCCCCGCCATGATATCCACCCCCCCTAGTCATCACCCCCCTCTTTGCCGCCCCCGGCAGGACGTCCTGGGCCCGCTGCCCCCATCTGCCGGGGCAGGCCGGCAGGGCCAGCCCCGCGGGCCGGCCTGGCGATTCCCCAGCGGGTCGGCCCCTCGGAACAGCCGGCAAGACAGCTGCCCTTCTGGCCTGACAGCATGTCCAAGACCACCTCATCCTCGGAACGATGTAGGCAGGCTGGGAACCATCACGACCTCGGCATCGTCGTTGTTGCATTGCTCCAGGATGAGCCGGGCGATGCGATGACCCTGCTCGACTGCGTGGGCCCGCGGAGTGGCGTTGCACACGGTGGCCTTGATCTCCCCGCGGAAGTCGGGGTCCACCATGCCGCTGGTGATGTCGATGCCCTTGAGCGCGAGAGCGCGGGGCAAGACGCATGCATGTGCCCGGAAGGGATAGTGCTGCGACGCCGGTAGATACCAGCTCCCGGCCACAGGTCAGAACACTGGAGTCGGAGCGGGGCGTTTGTGGCGAACGCCTCTCCACCAACCCGTTATTCGCCTGCACGGATTGCAGGCCGAACAGGGCAGGGAGAGCGTCGCCTGCCCCCTCCGCGGCCACAGCGGGCATGTTGTGCTGAGTGCCCACACCATCGGGTGAAGCTGTGGCGATGGAGCAGTAGATTTCCCAGTTCGCCACTTGTGACCCGTTGCCACTCCTGCCACATATAGTGGAGCAGACAAACTCTCCACCGAGGCTTAGAGCATCGTCTGCATGGCTCGCCAGGCCAGGTTCTGTGCGAATCGCATGCAAAGTTTGGCCCAGGCGCCGGCGTCGACGATGACGCCTGAAACGACGCACATTGCCAAGCAGCACGGCGAGTCGCCCGCGGACCCCGAGCCCAGGGCCCTCGACTACAGGGCGCAGCACCCCCTTGACTCTGGGGCCCAAGGCCCACGCATTCCGCGGCAGCCAGGGCGCGCAATCCCCTCGAGCTCACTGAGACAGGGCCCGCGACACCCGGGCCCCCGAGTCCAAGGCGGAGGACTGCCGCGCCCCGCGGCGAAGGGGGCGGGACTTCCTGGGCCCCGCAGGGGAAGGCCAACGACTCCTGGGCACCACAATCGAAGAACAGGGGCTCTTGGGGCGACGAGCCAGGGGCCGTCGACCGTGGCACGGCCCTGGGGCCCCGGGTCCAAGATTCCCGGGCCGCCGAGCGCGGAGGGCCCCATGACCCTCGGGCCCTTTGAGCCGGGCGCGCCCGCGCAGCCACACCCGGAAAAGTTCCGCTGGGGGCGTTCGTGCCGCGCGCAAGTGGTCACTCGATGGCTCCCTGGATGGCTCACTGAACACACTTATAACAGGGCTAGGATCGGGATAAATCGCTCCAGAGCGGCCGCGGCGCCCAATACATCCTCCAAACCCGCCGATTCTCAGAGATTTCGAGTTATCCCGATCCGATTTTGTCCCGATCTTCGTTTCGTTTTACTCACTGAACACACTGGAAGCCTCAACGTCGGCCCCCGCAAACATTCCCAGGTGAACCCTGGAATCACTGCGGGGCAAGAGCGGGGAAGCACCTGCCCCGCGAAAACACGGGGGGGCAAAAGGGCAAGCTCGACCTAGTGAGCCGCGGTGGGCTGCTGAGCGCGGGGCCCCAAACCGCGCGCGAATGCGCCCTGGCCGGGGGGGCCGGCCCCAAAACGCATAGATCCCTGCTCGCCTGGCAAAGCTGCCCCCCGAAATAATTCGGCGAACTGGTTCCC